TTTGGACCTCTCAGAAAATAAGGTCTTCCAGAAGTTGGGGAGGTCCACATAAAAGTCGGGGGGGGGGGTCGTGACCCCCCCGACCCCCCCAGTGGTTGCGCCCATGGCAGGAAGTCATCAGTTTTATTGAGTTTGGTTTAAATCGTTATAAATTTGCTTTATTGAATTATATTTGTGAAAGGCGAGATAAGCATATTTCTAAGAAGTCTTCTCTATGAGTCTCTATGTTTCTCAGTGGCGTATCCAAGCATAGGGCGGAGCCAGCGTACCCCCCCCCCGTTTGCAAGCCCAGAAAAAAAATGTTTAGTAGCAGTGGGTCTTCAGGGGTAACGTCAGACTGAAAGCCCTCCTGCTTCTGTTTGCTCCACAAGGACCTCCCTTTGAAAATGGATAAGGTGGTCAACATCTTCATCAGAATGAATCCTCGAAGGTTGCTATTGGCAAACCCCATGGGGGACGCTTAAGGTCCCGAACACACAATCATGACCTGAACATCTCAGTGGCAATTATTAGGCATAATTGTCACACTGACATCTCACCCTGACCTGTGTACCAATCGGAGCTAATCATCAACATGATCAAGTATGTTTCCTGTTTAGTGCCATTAGACATGTTAAAGGACTTAAGTTATATCTCGTGTTGCAATTCTTGTATGTGTTATAATACATGTATTATTCCTATAGTAACCTAACTTCAGGTGTGTACGCTCTCTGAAAAGTAATGAAAAGTGTTTTAAATCCTAAATTGTAGGGTTGAGATAGTGTCATCAGACATCAGTATATGGCCCACAGTATGCCTCAAATTGCAGGAGAATGGCTTAAATATTTCAACATTTTCTGGGATAGCATGCCCCCAGACCTCCCTCTCGCTGGCGTAGCGTAGGCACGCGGGCCTGCCTGTGGCAGCCACGGTACATTTCGCCCACCTGTTCATCAATTTCTGAATACGCCACTGTTTCTTATATAATAAAACCACGGATCTTCTCACATTTCAATATGCTTCGCCATATCGGTTCCCTGATACTTTCATATCTTCATTAATTCAAACGACTTTATGGGGGGGGGCAAAAGACATGGTAATAAAATTAGTTCCAAATACAAAAGCAAAAATTACCACATCAAGCAATTAAACTAACAATAAACCATGAGTAAAATTAACATAATTATAGTTAATTTGCTCCACTATACGATGTATATTTCCATAAATGTTGACTCGTCGATGTGGCTTGCTTCGTTTCCTATCGATAGAACTTAACTCCTACTACTTGCTCCTACTACATCTGCTCTACTATATAGTATGTAGATACTAAACATAGATGTGTACATATTATTAACGAGGGGGTACAGGGGGTTGTCTTCCTCCCGCCTCCTTCCCCCTCTCCTCCCACCTCCCTCCCTCTCCCCTCCCACCTCCATCTCCTGTATATCCCCCTATCCTTTATATTTTGCATATATGTATATGTTTTGAATGAAAATCTTCCCGCCCACACTGGCCCCTACTGTCGCTCCTTCCCCTTCCGCTCTCCGCCCCTTTTTCTCCCGTCTTCCGCCCCTCCTCTCCCGTCTCCCATCCCCCCTTCTCCCGTCCTCCCCCTCATTAACCTAATCAGGTATTCATACATTCATGTTAATATGCATGAATTCAATTGAGTTATTTTGAATCATAATATATTACCTATAGATCCCAGCAATGTTAGCTTCGTAACGTTTCCAAAAATTTCCTTTTTTCGACTCCAGGTTACGCCACATGCTCGTTGTCGGTGTCGAACTGTACATTCCACAGGTCCCATAAATGGAGCTGGTAATTAACATACTAGCTGTTGATTGGTCAGCGGTGCGTGATGTCATCAGAATACTATGCGGTTATCGCTGGAATGTGTAGCGACAAGCAATGGAGGCCGGAATGAAGATATCTATGTGCAAATGAGCGGATACATTCAGCAAATGTGACGACGTTTGTCCCTTTTTTAATAGGAGGATGCCAAAAAGGAAGAATGGAGAACTTCCTCTACCCGCTGGTTGGGAAATCGGACGAGATTATGACGGCAAACTATTTTTCATCGACCATCAAAACAAACAAACGACTTGGGTCGACCCAAGAGACAGGTGAATACGTTTTTGTTGCTCTTACTCTTAGTAGTCTTACTCTTACTCTTAGTCTTACAATGTTACATGTCGTCATGTGTATGTATCATATTAAACTCTTAATTAATGTGTGAAATCCGCGGTGATAATTCTCTTTTGCGGTTAAACGATTGTCCGGGAAAAGGAACACGCGATGACGGTCAGATCTGCCGCACTGCAATCGCAAAGTTTATTAATAATATTAATAATAGTATTGTTATTTATTTTTTTACTCTGTATTATAATGTAGAATTCGGCAGCGTATAGTAGCGCCAATGGGTTAGCTATCATTTGATGATTTTATATCTCGGAGGCTAATAAAATTGCGAGTACACCGCTTTTTCTGTTAGTGTTATCACAATTGTAAATATAGTGAACGAGTGACTAAGTATGCTGTATCCTATGGCTGTATCACACTTGTCACTGGCCTAGTCATTTACTGAGTAACACGGACTGCGTCCGATGCGATTAGCGCCAACATAACTAAGAAGTAAGTGTCCCCAAATTAGGAACTTGGTTCCTAATCACGTTGCTGTTGTGGCACAGTTCAGTTGTTCTGACACAGATTGTTACAATGGGGACATATACTGCATTCGCATGCCCAGAAGTTGGTATGTAAAAGTACCATTTGCCAGCAGTAGGAAGAGAATTGGTTCTAACACAATTGCTGGTGCCTTACAGATAAATACCAAAAGTTCCTCACATGAGCTACCACGTATATCAAGTAAATTTGAACTTGAAGTGGGAAAGCATGAAAGCATGACGTCGTGATTTTCCCAATATATTGGATTTACATCTCAGCATAAATATGTAAAGTAAACATGGACCAACTTGGTCCATATATTTAACATCTATTTTTAATCTGTGTCTCTTTGCCTCACGGGTGATTTAACACCCTATTTATATTTGCGTTTTGTGGTCATGTGTGTGGCTTTTCGAATATCAACATGTTTTCAAGCTTCTGTGACCCAAATTCATTCTGCTTGCGCACACATTGCCATAAATTACGGTTCTCGTGCATCCATCAGTAAGGTAGTAAAATAGGCAAGCGAGAGTCAATATTTTGTCATTTAAAGTTACTGCTATGATATTAATGAGACTGCGCGTGTGTTAGTTGACAAAACAAACTACAGCAGACACCACACGTATTAGATTTCTCTGCCGAAACATTCCTCACCTATCCTTACACCACCTGCGTGAAAGGATGCACGTGGGTGCAGAATATCGTAAAATAAATGGATGCTCGTGCGCGAAGCTGCAGAGTGTGCAATTCTCCTGCATGTCCATCATTCACGTACAGTGATGTCCGCGTGAAGTATGCATAGCAGCATACCTATCTATACCTGGTCGCCTGATTTTGCCGAGGCCGGCATTCCTGAGTGATTGCACATAGCCGAGGTCGAGTCCAGGTCAGCGCAATTTGTTGCAGGTAGTTTACCTGTAGATGAACATCAGTGGTGGAAACTCACATTCATGGCCTAATTATCTTCTATCAGGTGCTATTAGTTTTTATTCCATATTGTGGTTACAAATGGGACGCATATATATCCCATTCTTACACGTGTAGCCAGCCGCTTGTACACGCAGCCACGTTTGAAGGCAATTTGATTTTGTAATTCATGTCACAGACACTGCATATATGAAGGGACAGGTATTGCCTCGGGTGCTGCATATTTACTGATTTTACCGAATGCTCCAGCACTTTACTGATTGAATCAGTCGAAAAAGATCGCAAAGTTAACTGTCTACACTGTACAGGTGCACATATAGCACCACAGGGGATCCGATCTACCAGTATGTAGTATTAGAAGGGGGTTGGCAAATATTTTTATAAAAAAATATTTGCAGGGAGTAGAGGATGTTAACAATGCTGCTTTCACTCTCCTCGCGTGGCCATCGCTGTGTCATTAGTTCTACACTGTAACACACGCACACGCAGTGTCATAATCATGGTAATTTGTCTGTATACATATTTGATAATCCTCTTTCGTTTATAAGAGTCTTTGTATAGTAGGCTGTCATCATCGAAATAGTTTACCGTCAATTCGGCCAGGTAGGCGTGCAAATAAAATAGGAGGGTAGAATAATCAGGGGAGTTCATAAGAGGGAGTTCATCTATTCATTGTGGCAGCATTCGTGAATTATTATATTTAATACCCGGGTAATGACAGTTACCACTGTCTGCAAAGAAAGGCCACAATTCTGTATCATTTGGTTCAGTTCACGTGGAGGTACACGGTAGCCGCTATATATTGAACTGCGATTTACTCCTTGTGATATGCTGCGATGCCTGCGAATTGTCGTGGTTTGAAAATATGCAGAATCTACCATTATGGCTGGTAATAATTATAAGGAATCCTACAACTTGCATTCATCATAGATTTATAGTCAATTATATGTCTGACCTAGAAAGGTTTAGTCGTCCTCACTGTAAACACGTTTTTACTTTATTTTGAGTCTGTGCAAGTTAAACATTGAGAAATGAGATTAATAATTATTGCTACTACAGTCGTCATAATATGATTACCGTGGATAGGCAGGCACTCATCGTGGTACCTGTATTAGATAATTAATACATGTTTGCTCGCACAGCGTATCTGGAATGGAAGGGTTCATATCTTTGTGTGCTGTAGCCTACGTTGACAAATTAACATGTGGGTAGCGTATAATTTCAGCAGCCTGGGAAACTCGCGTTTGCCGAGCTGCGTGCGTGTAGGTACGTGCTCTACAAAATCTACCTGTGCATACCTGTTGATTAGGTGTGCATGCACCTTACACCTGCAGCAGCATTATACGGCCGCTTTAACAAACATTCCGATGTGGTGATCTCACCTTGTCCATAAAGTTTTATCGCCGCTTGGTATTCCGTCGTAAGTAGTTGAAGAAAGGGGAAGGTTGTGGTGGGGGGTGGCGGGTGAATGAATATAAGATGCACGCGCGGAGTCGGCCACACTTACGTTCTTCACTGCTGTAGCATCCGCGCAACTCTCACAAAAGTATACGTGTGAAGTTCTCATTTGAATATGACGAGGTTTATTCTCAATTGGAGGTTGCGTGAACGCACTGTTACGTAAATATTTGCGTGCCGGGAGCGCATTTCCTTGCATGCCACTCCACTCCCCCCCCCCACTTCATGCATCCCCCCATTCTCGCCTGCACACATAACCGCGTTCACTAGTTCACACAATAGATCTTCTAGCAGCGTCTCTACTGCCCATCATCGCTGTCTTCCTCTGTCTCACCGCGCCTATCGGCCCTCTGCAATTGTTGCGATCGGCCCTCTACTCGTTGCGCATCCTTCACTCATTCTACACGCATTCCGGCTACGCGCTACCGACTACGTTTTACCCGTACGTCGGCTGCGCGACACATCGTATCAGCGTGACCCCTCCCCGTGCTCCTCACCCCACCCCCCTGTTACACAGGTACGCTGCGGAATACAGTGGTCCCGACAAGCGTACCCTAGCATAGCTGGCTAGCTGCTGCCCGTGTCGGTGGCGTTCACCATGTACGTACGTACGTGCTCGTTCTGTCGCGTGTGATACACTGGCAAAGCGCCAACTACACACATAACTAAACACCCGCACGCACATTCACACTCACGCACGCGCTTAGGCGTGTATGCGTGCGTGCGTGCGCGGTCACGTACCTATACCACGCAGTCGCACGCGCGCGTTCACGCACCGTGTCGCACGCACACGCCGAATCACACGCGTGCGGGCTCACGGGCGCACTGTCACACACCGCGTAATACACGCACGCACGCACGCACGCACGCTCACGCACTGGATCACATACGCTCACGTACGCACGCTCACGCACGTCATCACGCACGCACGCACGATCACGGGCCGCGTCGCGCGCATATACAGACTACAGCGCGTTGCCGCCGCGTTGACTGCTGAGTGCCAAGGAGGACATTTAAACAGCAGGTCGGTGCAGTGCTCAGGAATGCGCCGCCCGCTGCCGTCAGTGCGCGCGCGTTATGCCTTCCACTAATCCGGCCGCTCCGCCGAGAAATGGGCGCAGCGGAGCGAGCGAGCGTTTGTGTGTGCGCGCGCGATCAGCACTGCACGGAAGGCAGAAGAACGCTTGGCGCGTCACGTGTTCGCTTCGTCGCCCAGTTACCCCCCACCCCAGCAACCCGCCGCCACCGCCGCCATCGCGCCGTGTCGTAATCGCTGTGATTTACGGTCGCCGCGGCGCGATGCTCGCGCGACGACGTTTGTGTAATAATTTATGTTGCGGATAATGGCGGACAATAAATAGCAGACGACCGTGGCGCGGTATGCCGCCAAGCTTCAGAGCACCGCAATGTGACTGCGCGCATTCTGAGTGCGGCTGGTGTCTTCAGTATATATATATAACTACACGTGGTCCCGTACACTAGCTACACGTGGTCGCCCTCACGCCTCGCATAGAATACTGGGTATACATGGTATGATGGTATGTATCTCCAAGGGTAAGGTGTGCAGTTTTCTTCGCATCGGCTCTGACCGAGCTGGATGGCGTCGTACGTTCTCCTCTATAAGGTATAATTGACATAATTTGTCAAGAGCAAACCAACTACGTACCACGAGCAAACTCATGGTATAAACATATATGATGTGGTCTACATTGTGCAAGTTGCGCCACCTTTACCATCCGCTACGAAACTGTTACAGTGCTTGTAAATAAACTTCACTGCCATTCATAGATGTGAGTGCACCCTCAGCAGACCGCTACAGATGCGTAACTGCGTCTGAAAATCAAGAGGTATACCTCACAGCTAGCACTGCCCGTAAAAATGGCCTGAAGTCTACATACTATGTTCAATATACAGATAAACTCAAAACTCTACTGGTATTTCCGAGACGACAATCCAGAGGATTTGAGTTTTTTTCGTCTTTTTTATTGTGGGAAAAGAATCCCGAATTACAATATAAAGCCATTCTGATATTTGTGATGTTAGTGTTTGATGAAATTGATTTATGATATGTGGT